ACAGTTTACTACAGAAAACTACAGTTCAGTTCAATTAACAACAACAAAATAAAATGCTCCAAGAACTGGTAACTTAAACAGGGTTTGTACAGATACTGCTAAATGAAATTCCAGGACTTTCAAGGACTTTTCAAGCACTATTTTTGGGGTTTTCAAGGACTAAAATCGAACAATATTTCTATCTTTCAAATTCTAATAAATAAACTAATAAAAAAAAAAGGTACAAATAAAGTGCAGCACAAGCAAAGCATGCAATGACTGTGGCCACTTTAACATTCAAAAGGATACTATGGCAAAGATATCGCTTTCCTTATTCAAACTGATTTTATTTTATGAATAAATGATTGACCTGAGGAATGAAAGCAATATCATACACTTGAAATATAAGCTATATAACGCTCGTAGATACTAGGGGTGTGACAATAAACTTAGCTCATGAGATGAGACAAAATACAGATACTTGTTTCACTAGAACGAGACAATGTTTTAATACTATTTTTAAGAAATTTTCAATTACAAAATATTTGTCTTATCACAAAATGCAAAAAAATAAATAAAAATGAAGTTGTATTTTGAAATGTTTTTAATCTAGGGCCGTAACTAACAATTATTTTGGTAATCAAGTAATCTGACATTTTTTTAGTAATAAAAATAGACCTAAGTGAAAAACAGGCTTTAATATGTCTATATTTATAAATAAACTAACGATAAGGCAATCATAATTGGTTCAAATAAAGTATCAAAACCAAGTAATTACATGGTTTTATTGAAAAACAGTTATATAAATGCAACACAACACAAAATATATAATGTAATATGCCTATATTATATAAATGAACAAAACCAACTTAAAGGGTTAGTTCACCCAAAAATGAAAATTCTGTCATTAATTACTCACATGTATTATAACAAATACCTGCAGAGGGCGTCAACGGCCTGGTGATGTTTTACTTTACAGCGTGATTCAATGACGTTTAAATCCATTTATTATTTGGACCAGCAAACTCAGAGCAACTTTTATTTTGAAATCGAGATGTACAACAAATCGCATATCTAGAAATATGTTGATCTAGAAATACTCTCCTGTGTTTGCATAGGTTTAAAAATGATTTACATTACAAATCTAGTGAAATAACACGCAGTTTTCCCAGATGCAACCCAAATTCACAGCATTTGTAGAGGAAGACTTTGTCAATCGTGCTGCTGAGATTGAGACGCGCTCCACGCTTGTAAATGATTACAGTGCAACACAAAGTGCATCAGACTTTATATGCGTTCTAAGGCTGCACGATAAATCGCATGCGATATTTAACGCGCATCTTGTCAGTAAAGCCGGTTCTGTAATCAGCGGTAAATCTCCATCACGTGCGGGCTTTCACATGGAGAAGCATTTACTACACAGAGCCGTTGTTCACCGACAAGCTGCGCAAAACCACGATCATATTTTGAGCATGTTTTGCGCAGCTTGTCAGTGAACAACGGCTCTGTGTAGTAAATGCTTCTCCATGTGAAAGCCCGCACGTGATGGAGATTTACCGCTGATTACAGAACCGGCTTTACTGACAAGATGCGCGTTAAATATCGCATGCGATTTATCGTGCAGACCTAATGCGTTCCCAAACAAAACCCAAACAAACAGCACATGTAATAAAAGACCGAACAATATAATGCAAGCACTATCAAAGGTCTTACCACAAAATCAACTTTATACTGATATTGCGAGACTGCTTTTCGCCTCAAGGAGTAATATCGCGAGATCTTGTGCGCTCCCAAAAGCCGAGTGAAATGGCTCTGTATTTAACACGTGCTGCATTGTTAATTTTGCAAGAAATTATTGTTTTTATCGGAAAAAAATTTAACACTAATTTCATATATACTGCCTTTTAAACATTCAAGTACTTTTCAAGTACCTTAACATAAATATGGCTGTTTTTAAGGTTTTCCATGACTTAAATTTCAAAAAGTCAAATTGAAGTACTTCAAGCACTTTAAGCACCTTGTGCACCCTGTGTTTAGAAGGCAGAGTCAAAAAAAACAACAAAAAAAGATGGATGCATACCTGTAATCACCTGTGGCTCGGCACTTTGACATTTGACTGTAGCCACTGTGTTGGTGTGTCCAGAAAGGGTGTGGACATTTGCCTTGGTCCTGATGTCCCAAACCTACCACACACAGACAATATACATTAGTACTTTTGTACAGTAGGTTCATGGCCAATCAGCTGGAAAAAAAGTGTGAGGACTGCTATCTTACTCTCGCTGTGGCATCTCGACTACAGGTCACCAGTACGTCAATGGTAGGATGGAGGTCAAGGTCATACACTGCACTCAGATGACCGTGATAGTGCCTAATAACCTGCGGACAACACAGAAATCTGAAAAATGTATCCATGCCTGTATCCTGTAAGTAAAGTTTAGACTGAATGCATGTTGTTTTTGTTTGTATAGTTTCTACCTTGTTATACTCTAGATCCCAGCATTTAACCTGCTTGTCCTCCCCGCAGGAGAAGAGGTAAGGGCTGCGTGTGCTGACAGCTACCCCTCTCACCGTGCTGATGTGACCCGTCAGAGACAACTTCAGCTTACCGCTGGCAAGATCCCAGATCTAGCGTTACAGAACAAAAGCTTAAAGGGGTCATATGATGCGATTTCAAGTTTTCCTTTCTCTTTGGAGTGTTACAAGCTGATTGTGCATAGATAAGATCCCTGAAGTTGCAAAGACTAAAGTCTCAAAACCAAAGAGATATTCTTTATCAAAGTTAAGACTCTGCCACGCCCCCCTAAAACGGCTCATTCTAACACGCCCCCACATATCTACCTCACCATGTGGAAATATTTGCATAATGCGCCCAAATGATCACGCAAAGAAAGAAGGCGTGGTTTCAGGAACAGCAGTTAGTGTTGAAGCAGCCATGTCAAGGAGATGCTGTGTGTTTCTAGGAGAGGAGGTAATTCTGACTTTGCTATGACAATCTGGCGCTTCTGCATCAGCTACTGTTTTGTTATTAGTTTAAGTATTTGCTATTGACTGTTCAAATGCGGAGTTTTGCGCATTGTGTGTGTGTGTGTGTGTGTGCGTGTGGCGCGCGAGACAGGGTCACATCACAGTGGAGTCAGCTGTCTTAACCGTGGCTTGTGTACTGCAAACACATACCAGCTTCATCACTGTGTCTGTCACGCGACTCTGTTCCCCTTTCGGGCTGTCTTTACATTTATTTTGAAAGCTGAAGCTAGCGATTATGGTAAGGGGCGTTACATTTCCGACGAGTGCTTGCGGTGTTCGGCCAATCACAATGCACTGGGTCAGCTGGCCAATCAGAGCAGACTGCGCTTGTCGGAAGGAGGGACTTTGTAGAAAATGAAGCGTTTGAGAGAGGCGGGGCATATAGGACCTACAATAATGTACAGTATTTGAAAAAGAATGTGTTTTTTGAACATTAAAGCATGTCAACATATTCTGTTACACCAAATACACAAAATAATGATCTTTTAAAAAAGCATCATATGACCCCTTTAATAATGATCTTAAGTAGGGCTCCATGTTGTGGGGGGGGGGAAAAATTTAATTGTGATTTTTCTAATTAAAAAAACCCTCTAGGTTTGCTGTACTTGTTTGTAGGGCTGAACAATTCGGCACTTCATATACAGTATACACACACACATATAAAAATAAATAAATAGATCTGTATAGATAATATGCAGACAGACAGACAGATAGATATATAGATAGACAGATAGATTGTCTTTGCAATATGATAGTCTTTGCAATATGAAAATCACACTAAGCAATATTGTCATTTCAGTTTTCTTTCGACTAATTTTAAGTCAGATAGATCACCTTTATAGTTCTGTCTGCCGATCCAGTCACAAACCACTGGTTTCCAGGCTCCACTGCTATAGATCTGACCCAGCCCAGATGGCCACTAATGACCTGAGAGACAGAACCAGAGAAGAACATCATATCCAATGAAACTCCATCATTGTAAACTGCCCTTTTTTGTCTGTATCATAATGGCCTTTAAAATACTTTCCAAACATACAACAAATGAAACACAATGACAGTTTCTATTTACAAGTACTCAGGAATAAAATAAACAAACATGCTGAATAACTCCTGGAGGAAGACAGAGCACTCACTCTGTACAGTTTCCATGGTGGATGCCACTGAGGTTTGGGCATGGTAGGAGCCTTTCTTGGCACCAGTGTAGAAGTCTTTGTGCCTCCTTCCATGAGAGACTACAAGGCAAAAAACATAAACTGATGCTATGAACTTCATCTTTAATAAAATGTGCAACCATCTACACACTGAAATACAAAATCATTAGTTCAGTTTAAGGTAGCCTACTGAAATACGCATGGGATAAGAGCAGTCATATCTCATTCATGAATTGACATTACATTCTAAGAACAAGCAACTAAATCTAAAATGATTAATTTAATCATTGATATAAAAATAAAAGCTGACGCTCACCAGCGCGTGTTGTGGGGGTTGAGATCTCTCTGCACCTCCTGCATGTCTGTGGATATCTGCCACACTTGCTGCAGTTCGACTGGCTTCCTGCCTACAAAGCAAGGAATAAAACATATCAAAAACCTAATTTACATTTAAATTAGTATCAGAATCTAATCACAGGTGAACAACATTACATACAGGAGTAGAACATGGTCCAAAATGTTTTGCAATGTTACATCCATGTGACAACATTAAAATTGCAATGCAAAGACTAAAGCACCCTTTAAGAAATTTTCATGTTGATTTAATAAGATATGTGCATCTTGAATTATACATATATGACAAGTTTGTCAGTTTAAAGCTGTAGACAGGAACTGAAACATCTTGTTTACATTTTTATATTGAAACCAAATCAAGATATGGCTTAGTGTGATTTTCAAATTGCAAACACTGTGATTTAATTAAATAAGTAGCTTATATGCACTGGATATTTTAGGGTGAAGAGCTGTTCTTTTATATGCGAGCAGCTCATGATGGCATTTTCAATGTCTCAAAGTAACTTGGTTCACAGTAAATGCAAACAAGCTCATCTTTGCATTTGAGTCGCTTATACATTTGGGCTAATTTATGCAGCCATACAAACAAGCACTGCAAACCTGAAGCTAGAATTTGCAACTAGAATTTGCCCCCAAACTGTGCAGCACTAAATCAGATCTGGGCCCGTATTCACAAAACATTTTATCTTATCACTAAGAGTTATCCTAAATAGCAGTAAAAGTTTTTAGCTAAGAGTTTTCTCTTAAAACCTATTCACAAAGCTGCTGAGACAAACTTTTACTAAGGCATAGAGAGAAGTCTTAAGCTAAGAGTAAGGGTGGGGTTGACCTCGTTGCTATGGATGATGTCAGCATGCTTGCTAACAATGCACACAGTGATTGGCTGATAGTCTCTGTCAGAGATTTATTCATAGAAATATTGTTGAGCATGATTTTATGTTGCCTTATTCAAATAAAGGTTTAAAAAAAAATGTTAATTGCCACATTCAAATAAAGATTTTAAAATGCAGCCTAAGTGTCACTAATTAAACAAGTATATGTTCAGCTAATTAATTGTCAGCCTCTTACATTGTTGCTTCTGGTAAACAATTTTTAATTAACAGAATAGAATAATCATGGCTGATAGTAAGACATGCAAACGTAAAAGAAAACCAAACTGCACGCAAGAACAACTGTTACTTCTTGCCCAACTGGCCAATGAAAACAAGGGTATAATCAAAGAAAAATTGTCCCTGACAAATTCTACAATAGTCATAATACCCCCGCGATTAAGGTGATACCTTTTTAAAAGCTCATAATCGTCAAACGTTTCTAAAATGCTTACGTTCCAAGGCAGATTGCCAGCAACAACCACTTTAGGATAGTTCTTGTGACTTGGTCTTAGTGACTTAGGAGTCCTCTTCACTACTCCTCATGTTTCACAGATTTAGGAGCTAGTTTTAGCATTAAAACACTTTGTGAAATACTCTCAGAGCAAACATTTAGGAGTCCTAAATTTAGGACTGACACGCCCATTATTTTTAAGATTTTCTCCTAAATCTGCAAGTTATGAGCTACTTTTAGCCTTAAGATTTTTTGTGAATACGGGCCCTGAAGTATTGGTGTTTAGTTTATCACCTTGCTTGAGAGGGAGGAAGGGCCAGAGCCATGGAGTGAACACCTGCTTCACTGGGCATCTTCTGTATCTGTGTATCTGCAGTGAGGGCCACTCCTGCAAACATTAGAAAAAAAAAATGATTAGGCCTCTGAAGAAAATACAGTTCTGTGCAATTAATTTAAATGTTCAGCATCTAGGTTTTCAGGCTTAAACAGACTTCCCTGGAGATGATGGACAGCCCTCTACGGACACCTTAGCAATTGAATCTTCATTGGCTAGTAAATTTTTTAGTTTACTCGCCAGACTGATAATATCAATGTAGAGGGTTGATGGATACGGATGAGTTCCTGTCACCAAGTAATCTGGACCAGCGTCTGCATAAATTAAGTCCAACAATTACAACAGACTGAAAAGTCAATGTTAATGATTACACTGACAACGTTTTTTTTTGTTGTTGTTTAGTCCCTAAAAACATGAATATAACAAAACACAAAAGGACCAAGATTTCAGTTTGTGTAAATCAGTTCCAAAAAGAAATAGGTAACGTTATACCAGGCAGTGGGTATCCCGGCTGGCCATATGGGTCAGAGGCGTGGAGTGGCCCTCTGTCTCTGCCCTCTTTCAGCACAGGCATGTGTAACACTGGTTTGTATTCTGCTCTCATCATCACGGTCATCTTCGTCTTGTAGCTAAAGACATAAGTAGTAAGATATTAGTAGTATTAACGAGCCATTTAGCTTTATATACAGACTCACAGACAATAATTACAGATTCTTCCTAAAGAACAGACTTATGAAATGTTAAAGTGTAAAATTTCAGTCTTTCAGTTATTGTCCTGTTGAGTTACAGTACCTGCACAAAACCAATAACGTTCGTTGGCTACATCCAGTGGTGTAGTGGTGCCTGGAGAAGTGGGTATACTCTTAATTTATGCCCCATGACATGTGTTATAAACAGTGACGTGTAAAACTAGTCTTGTATATTTAGTTCACCCCAAAATGGGCCAGTAGAATTTGCATATTGTCACTTAACTTCTGCTGCTTGACTTCACGGAGTAAGAATCATTATGAAATTAAAATTTAGTGTTGTATTATTTGAAAAAAACAGTAATATTAAATTCTCACATTAAGGGTGGTTTAAACTTTATTGATTTTAACTCATTGAATAATACAATTAAAATAAATTGGCTTAATCGTTTCCTCAAAAATCCCACCTCTGTTTGGAATATTTTCCCTCAACTTGTCTTCTCACAGCTTGGTGGTGTAAAAAAAAAATTGTCTTAATGTGTTTTCTCCCCACCGGTGTTACATATGGAACAATAGGAATATTTTATTTAAGAATAAATCTTTGTTCAATAATCAGTGGTTCAGTAACGGAATATTTCATGTTAGTCAGCTCTTTAACAAGGATGGTCTGCTTTTTAGGTATACAGAATTTCTTTTAGAATATAATATACCTGTAACTCCTAAAGATTTTGCAACTGTTATGGATGCTATTCCATCTGGCATATGCATGCTTTTTTAAAATTATACTCTATCTATAGGAACAGTTCCCTTTCCTGAACCTATCAACATGCCTATTGGTGAAATATGTTTCACTGGGAAAAAAGGAAGAAATTATAAAATAAGAACGTTATTCCTTGAGAACATTGTCTCTGCCCCTTCTGCAGTCTCATATTGGAACAATCTTTTTGATAATTTAAATTGGAAAAATATATGGTCCATGCAACAAAGACTTTTCCTCACTAACAAAATAAAAGAAATAACTTTTAAATTACTCCATAATATTTTCCCTGTCAAACTTTTTCTTAAGAAAAAATTTGGATCAGATTTTGACACTAATTGCTCCTTTTGTCAGAATGATACTGAAACACTTCTTCATTTGTTTTGGTCGTGCAACTATACTTTTCAGCTCTGGGAAGATGTTAGTTATTTTATTTCAAGTGCTATCTTACAAGGTTTTTCAATGAATCCTAAATCTGTTATTTTTGTTTCTTTGAAGCGGATTCAAATGCCTGCTTTATTATAAACCTAATTCTCTTTTTGTAGATTTTATATTCATAAATGTACATTTTCGAACTGTAAACCTATTTTTGTAGCATTCTTACAAGAGATAAAACATTATTTACTTACAATTTCATTCTCACTTAACAAAAAAGCTCTCAAAACATGTACGGTTTGCACATCCTACAAACTCTTTACTGTATTTAATGTGTAATTTTTATTAATTTGTGTAATGCCCTCTTATTTCCTTTTCTTTTTTCCCCTTTGTCTTTTTTTTGTTTGTTACGGTCTTTTTCTGCTTTAAACTATTGTACTGATTGTTTTTTTTTATTATTATTTATTCTATTGATGTTATTCTTAACTGTTGTTATGTTTTAATTTTGTTGTTCCATAATGTAAACTAAATGTTCAGATAAAGCATTAAAAAAAGTGAGGCATACACGACGTTAATAGTAAGATAACTCCTCTGATTAACTGGAAAGACCAGCTTGTGACGTTTATATTTTGCTTGGGTGCATGTGGTGAGTAAATTACTTTTATAACCTGAATGTTTGCAGTACGTGGTGTTTAGCATTGGCAGACTGAAGAGGGAAGTTCCTGGTTCGTCTCATGATAAACGCTTCACGGTGTGCAGAGCGCAAGCGTAATTTGACAACGATGTGAAAAGTCATGCAGTTTGCTTGATGAACAGCAGAGGGCGGTCGAATGCCAAAAATCGTCCAGACTAAAGCGATATATACATGTACGTACTTGGCAGACGCCTCCTATCCTATTCCTATCAAATGCCATTGATTGATATTATTATTGTTAGTGTTTAGTTTTTCTGAACAAAATATAGCATTAAATAGTCTATTATAAAGCAGATTATTAGATTATAAAAGTGTCCTAGTTATTGTTGGAGTTTTATACATTTAGCATAATATATTTTTGCCAGAACACAGACCAATCAGCTGAAAGATCGATGACTTAAACAACAGCAACGACTATTTATTTTCAACGGATATCCATTGGTGTAAAAAAAATATTTATTATATATTTATGATTCTGGGTCTACGTTTGTTATTATTATTATTATAATTGTTATTATTAATAAACTAATGAGTATTGTAGTTTTGTTAACACTTCTAAAACTGCTAATATGGCTAGAAACAAAAGATTATTTAACTGTTAAATCGGAATTTATTTAAATGTGTAACGAAGAAAGTTCTTGATAAAAAATATCGCACACGTAATTTTTGGTAAGTTAAATGATTTTATTTCAGGCATATGGCAATAATAAATAGGCTAATAATAAAAAATAATAAAAAAAAAAGCTCAGCGTACTGAAGTCCAACAACTGAGACGTGTCCAGTAAAGTTTTAGATTATAATTTGGTGTAGGTCTGTCACCAGAAAACCCTTAATGGGCACCCTTTACCGCGTATTTCAGACGCAGTCGTCATAGACGAAATGAGTAGTAAAAACGCTTTAATTGTGTGTCTTTTTGTTGATATGCGCAGTTAATTATGTTAAATTTGTTGCGCCCACTTGTGGTTCATAAAGGAACACATAGCCGTGTGTTTGGATTTGTGCTTTGATGCGGTAAAGAGAGAAAGACTCTTTTACTGCGGTCATGGGCAAATATAAGGGACCTATTTTTCAAACAGACACATCGACACGCAGTACGTACAGACAGAGAGACAGACACATGGACTGTTTTGGTCGGGCGAGTTAAGTGGGCTTATTTGATTAGCTTTCATTCTTTCCTTTGCCATTCTGGTTTTCTCAGCATAAATGCATCCTCAGTTTGCCATTAGCAATCAGCCTGTGTCTCTTGCAGAGGTCTAAAGGCCTATAGATTTATCTTTATGTGGTGCATAAGGGTAATGGTGATTGCAATGGAAAGTTTTTCCAAATTAGCCAGCATTTCTGAGATGTTTCGTACATGTGGTTTGACTCAAAACAAGAGATGATTAAGAATTTAAAAGTTATTTATTTGAAAGATTTTATAATTCAGACAGAAAGTGATTGGTAGCTTACAAGGTAGGCCAGTGTGTGTGTGTATGCACAGATTGGTTGGAATGTCATGTCCATCAAGGTTTCCTGTCTGTGAACGTAATCTGCGGGAAACAGGCAACGTTTCCCAACAGTCTCAGCGTGACGATAAGCTGCTTTTTATCAGGGTTATGAGGCCGTGCTGCAGTTGGCACTGGTTGTGTCACACGCATACACACACAGAGAGCCTCAGGTGGTCAGACATTGAACGGTTTGTATTCAGTGGTTCAGTAGCGGAATATTTCATGTTAGTCAGCTCTTTAACAAGGATGGTCTGCTTTTTAGGTATACAGAATTTCTTTTAGAATATAATATACCTGTAACTCCTAAAGATTTTGCAACTGTTATGGATGCTATTCCATCTGGCATATGCATGCTTTTTTAAAATTATACTCTATCTATAGGAACAGTTCCCTTTCCTGAACCTATCAACATGCCTATTGGTGAAATATGTTTCACTGGGAAAAAAGGAAGAAATTATAAAATAAGAACGTTATTCCTTGAGAACATTGTCTCTGCCCCTTCTGCAGTCTCATATTGGAACAATCTTTTTGATAATTTAAATTGGAAAAATATATGGTCCATGCAACAAAGACTTTTCCTCACTAACAAAATAAAAGAAATAACTTTTAAATAACTCCGTAATATTTACCCTGTCAAACATTTTCTTAAGAAAAAATTTGGATCAGATTTTGACACTAAATGCTCCTTTTGTCAGAATGATACTGAAACACTTCTTCATTTGTTTTGGTCGTGCAGCTATACTTTTCAGCTCTGGAAAGATGTTAGTTATTTTATTTCAAGTACTATCTTACAAGGTTTTTCAATGAATCCTAAATCTGTTATTTTTGTTTCTTTGAAGCGGATTCAAATGCCTGCTTTATTATAAACCTAATTCTCTTTTTGTAGATTTTATATTCATAAATGTACATTTTCGAACTGTAAACCTATTTTTGTAGCATTCTTACAAGAGATAAAACATTATTTACTTACAATTTCATTCTCACTTAACAAAAAAGCTCTCAAAACATGTACGGTTTGCACATCCTACAAACTCTTTACTGTATTTAATGTGTAATTTTTATTAATTTGTGTAATGCCCTCTTATTTCCTTTTCTTTTTTCCCCTTTGTCTTTGTTTTTGTTTTTTTTGTTACGGTCTTTTTCTGCTTTGAACTATGGTACTGATTGTTTTTTTATATATATATATATTTATTTATTCTATTGATGTTATTCTTAATTGTTGTTATGTTTTAATTTTTTGTTCCATAATGTAAAGTAAATGTTCAAATAAAGCAAAAAAAAAAAAACTCCAGTGTTGCATTGGGCTGCCTTAATTAATGATATAGATTGGAGAAGAGCATGGTTGTTGCCTCATAGATATTTTCTTCCTAATAAGACCAAAGAAGTCCACTTATTTTATAGTTTACTATGTATAGTAAACTATAAAATACTGCATAAAATATATCCTGTTAACTCCTGTTTCCAAATATGTTGATATTCCTAAACCTTAATACATTTATTCTTTTCTTGTGAATTTGTCAGAAGTTTTGGCTTGACTTGTATTCCCATTAAACAAACCCCCTATCTTTGCTAAATCTTTTAGCTTGAAAGATACTATTTGTTATTACTCTGACTCTGCCAACAAATCTAAAGAATATATTTTCAACGTTTTTATTTTGTTTGGCAAATTTTTCATCCATAAACAAAAATGTATGGGCTCAAGTCCTACTCTTTCACATTTTCTGATTGAGGTTGACTCACTGCTCACATCTTTTTGTTTGACTAGCAATAAAAAATGTGACATGTTTTTGGAACTATATGACAAATGTATTTCTATTGACTCTGATTAAGTTTAGAAAGCTTTCCTTCATTGCTCTGTTATTATTATTATTATTATTATTATATTTTCCCCTTTATTGTAAGCTGCATACCACCTTATTGTGTTTTCTTCTTTTTCTTACTTCTATCTTCTTTTCTTTGTTAATGTTCTCCTGAAGGTGATTGTATATTTTCACCCGATTTCTTTCTTGTCGGTTCCAGATACCCCTGAGTTGACTGAGATTGCTGCAGCCATCCCTGGGTCAGTCGAACCAGTTCCAGGCACCCTTGATTTGATCCAGTAAAGTCCGTACCAGATTCTCCTGGGCTGTGGCCATTTCTGAATCAGTCAATTAAACCAGCTCCAGTCACCTCTGAGTCGGCCAACACCTCTGCAGCTATCAGAGTCG